TCAGCTAGCCGCAAGTCAGATCTCTTTAGAGGCACTCTGCAGCGTGCTCAAAGTTCTTCGACTTGGGCGGAAGTCGCACAAATTTTTAAATGGCTAGCAGGCCAATTACTAGCCGCCACGTAGGAATAATTTAGAGCTGGCCAATAGCGGGACACAAATTTGCAGTCGAATAGCGGGAACTCTTTGCACTGTGCATTTCTGTGCTGCAAGGAAGAAATGCACCCTGCAAAGAAAGCTACAAATTGGCGGGAACTCTCTTGCACCGAGGTTCTTCTGTGCAGCAAAAACCTTCGCTGTGCAAGAGGCTCTCATGTGGCAAGAAAATTCCATTGTGCCGAGGCACCAAAATCACTGGGTTGTGACATGGGTGAACCCCATCAGCCAATGTTTTACCCATCCAACTGCGTAGGCATCAGTGCCACAGTCGCTTAATTTATTGATGAGGACGGGGTGAGAGACAGTGTCAAAGGCCTTCTTAAAGTCTAGAAAGACTACGTCCATGGCAACACCATCATCCAAGGATTTAGTTACTTGGTCATAAAAGGCAATCAGGTTGGTCAGGCAGGACCTGCCTTTGATGAACCCATGCTGATTGTCCCTGAGCATGATCTTCCCTGCAGGCCCCCCCACAGATGTGCTCCTTGATGATTCTTTCCAAGATCTTCCTGAGCACCGAGGTGAGGCTTACAGGCCTATAATTACTTGGGTCCTCCTTCCTCCCTTTCTCGAAAATTGGGACCATATTAGCTAGTTTCCAATCCCCCGGCACCTGACCAGATGACCATGAATGCTCGTACAGCCGGGCCAGGGGCTCCATGATGACCCTTGCCAGCTCCCTCAACACCCTTGGGTGGAGGGCATCTGGACCTGCAGATTTAAAAATGTCTAGCCTTCCAGAAGATCCCGAACTACATCTGCACTGACTGAAGGCCTGACAAAGCTATCCCTGAGATTGTCCCTACCTCTGGTAAGTGGGATGTCCTGGTCCCTGTTCAAGAAAACAGAGTTGTATAACTTAATCCTGTATCTGATTGAACCTAAGAAATAATACCCAGATCTTCAGAGATATTTTGATGCCTACCTCTTCTTGGATATCAATGGCCCTCTAATTTCTTAAGCTTTATATATACTATAAAATAACAGCTTGATTTCTATCCCTTGACACACAGTCAGCAGTACAGACTGCAGAGTTGGACAGGATAACCAACTCTCTTGCCCATATCACTGTGTAAGAGACAACTGTAGCCTACACAATTTATAGCCTTTGGATTAATGGCAACGAAAACCTGAAGAGGAGAACATTACAGTATCCTACCTTGAATATGACAGATGCATAAATGAGCATGTTGAAGTTTGCATTGAAGAACACACAGCTTTCCTGAATAAGCTGGAGGTAAGAACTGCCACTCTTTATCACTACTGCAGTGCAGATTTTAATGTCAAGAAAGCAGTAAATACAGGATCCTTCAACTCCACGCCTGCCTTTGCAGTGGCATTTGTATTCCATGAAAAGGATATCCATGCAAACTGTAGTGATTTTTTTTCAAAATACTTCCTTCTACACAGGTTTATCACCTTATTTTTCCAGAAGTTAATTTTAATCAAGTGCTTTATCTTAAATAAAGTTGTTGCGTAGACAGTTTTGTTAACTAAGATACGATACAAGGCCAATGGAAAAGGAGACAGAACTCTGTATTGTAGTTTATAATACATACATGGATTTTTTTCTTTGGCAAGGAAAAAATTGTTATTTGCTGCTAACAATCCACACTGCTTTATTTTTCACTACACAGGCACACCTTATTTCCTGTCAAGGATTCTGTGCAGTCTACTAGTCCAGCAGGTATTTCCTGTATTAATTAGAGCTACCACTAGAGGGCATTCACAACATAAAGGCCAATTTTTCAAAAGTGGCCTCAAGTATCCAAGCTGAGAGATCTAGGACACGATTTAAAGAAGTACTGAAGACCAGAAAGTCCACATAAAATCAATGGGAGCTGCAGGCATCCCACATTTCTGAAAATCAGCCTTAAGGGTAGCATATTCAGAAGTGAGGAGTGATTTTTGCATGAGTCAATTTTTGGCTGTTCAATATGAGACTTTAGTCTCAAATTGGAATCTGTCTCCTTGAGTGCCCCAAAATTGAGATGGTCAACATCATGTCACATTTGAATATCTTGGCCCCAGTTTTAGAGATGGACCTCCAAAAATAGAAATTTTGAAAATGTAGCTTTTAGTGTCATCTGCTTTACTAATTGACACATTATCATAATCAGAAAGACATGATTAAAAACACTTGTAGCACTCTTCAGCTAAGGCTCTCAAAGCACTTTTGAAAGGAAATGTATTAACCCTCTTTTACAGATGAGGAAACTGAGAACAGAGATTTTGATTTTTTTCAGTCACTGAGTATCTGCAGTTTCCATGGATTTCAACAGAGCATAAGAGTCTGAAAATCATGTTCTTTGTGACTTGCCCAGGGCTTCATAGTGAATCAGTCACAGAATCCAGCGGTAGTCTTCCGATTGCTTCATCTGGAAGGAGTGGCATCTATAGAGAAATCCTGTTGAGCCTGCCTTTAAACTTAACTGAAACTCTGGGATACCACAAAGACAGAACCAATGATGTGGAGGTCTTACATCTCTACACCACCTCTCATAACTCCCCTCGGATACTTGGCAGCACTGCTCCATAGGACCCATACTATTAGTGATTCCAGGTGACTTTAGTTTGCCTAGTAAAAAGAGAACCTTGGGCTGCATTAATTAAATTATTTTTTGTGACTCATGAAGGGCACAAGAGCATGCTATACTAATGTGAAGGAAGGATAGGATGCATAGCAAGAG